CAGCAATGACTGGAAACTAATCAGAGATGCAACTCTAAGGAGAATTTCCTCACATTTAGAACAATTAATCAGTGCAATGGCCGGCCTCCAAAAGTTGAGTGCTCCATCAGTGGAGGATTTTAAGAAGAGATTAGACAGTCACTTCTCTAGAATGGTATAGGATCTCTTGCTTGGACAGGGGGTTGAGCTAGATAGAAGATTTCCAAGCTCCCTTCCAACTTTGTTGTTCTGTAAAGCTTGCTCATTTGTGGCTTGGAAACGTGTACAAACCCACCACGGTCAGCAAACCATGATGAAAGCAAAGCTTACGGGATGCTGTCTCCTGGTGCTCTGAACTGCACAATAGGGGAAAGGCTAACCTATTTTCTAAAGCAGGCAAATCACCGTTCCATACAAGCCCTGATCAGGGAGTGTAACGTGGCTCCCTCTGCTTGCTCTTTGCAGCTCCCAGGGAGACCTGCCGGCGAGCCCTGGACGGAGGGCTGGGCTGGCTTCCAGGGCTGGGAGTAAACTATGATTAAGCCACGATTAAGGCCGGTCTCCATCATCACCGCAGCCTCTTTGGACTCGGCAGAACCACCGTCTCGCCTGCCTCCCTACTACGAAGCCCATCCTCCACAGCCATCACAGCCTTGCCAGGTGCCGTATGGGGGATCCCTCGTCTGAGTCCCCCCCAAACTTCGGGGGGAAGCAGGGAGGGAGGATGCCCGGCCGCCTCTTCCCAATCCCGGGGAGGAGAGAGGGAGGGAGGGAAGGGCTCCCGGCCTCCACCCGGCTGTCAAAGAGGCGGCTCGCCCGGCGTCCTCCGAGGGGGAAGCGGCGCTTTCCAGACCCCGAAACTCCGGCAGCTCCACCGGAGGAGGAGAGGAAAGAGGAGCCAGAGCGCCCACTTTCCCAAGGGAGAGGAAATGGAAGCGGAAAGGGCGAGGAGACGCCGCCGAGGCGCCTCTCTAGGACGTTCCTCTCGTTCTCCCTACTACCCACCCCCCCAGCTCTGACGTTTTTTCCGCCTTTTTCCCACTTGGGGCATTTTGGGCGGCGGTGCAACTTCTGGGCGTCCGGCAAAGGTTTTCATCTGATAATCTGATCTTCAGATGCACAATGAAAAATCCACACAGAAGGGGGGACTTCCGGTGGCAGGCGCCTTCGCTGGACGCAGCTGTTTGCTGCTCCCGCCTGTTTCTGCGTAAAAGCCGTTTTGACAGCCTGCATCAGCTGTCAAACGGCTTGATACCTTTCCCCTGGGCATAGGGGGAAAGGTGAGCTGCCCGAGGTAGGAGTTGAGTTCCCGAGTCGTCCCTTGTGGACGATGTAGGTG